TGAATTTGTATTATTTTAGTATTTATCGAATAAACAAATTAGAAATTAAAGTACACCATTTTGCACTATGAATTTGTGTTATTTAATTTTACTACGCTTTTTTTTTAGTACAGTACTTAATTTTATCCAATATTATTTAATTATTCATTATTTAATTGGCTGATGGTTTGTAACCAAAGATGATCCTGTGATCTGGAATCTTCTGATCGACGCCGACATACTATAAAAGGTGCGATCTACATTGTCCAAATTTGGTATATTCCCAGACTGTATTGTGTAAGTATAATACAACCCCGATTTAATAATATCAAAATTGAGGGTATAAAAATAGTTCCCTTAATATAGAATGAGGGAAATTTGTTTTGATTGGTTGCTCATGATTACGCTTCGTTGCACCCACAAATTTATAGTATTTAATAATATTTTGTCACTTTCACAATAATGCCTTGTTCAAAACTTTACTCCAAAAAACATGTCGTCTTATCTTATTTATTTCATTTTAAATGATAACAATTTAATACACTGACTTCATATTTAAGTACCACTATTATCAAAATTGTCGAAATCGTCTATAATTAAGGTTGATGAAAACATTCGATCGCATTCGATCCAAAACGCTTATATTAAAAATGCGTTTCAAATTATAATTTTGCAAAATTTCAGATAACTTAATTATAAAAATATTATTTTACTGTTTAGGGAACATCCATAATTTACGTTAAACCAGTACGGTATTGTATAAAATAGAGACCTTGAAGATAATTTCATAAAGTATTGTTTTTGTATTGTCTTTAAGATCCCTCTAACAATGCTGGTTTAACGTAAATTATGGACGTTACAGGACCATTTTTTTGTTGTAAACAATATAAAAATTTCGTGTAAAATTCGTTTGTTCAATAGAAATAACTAACCAATAAAAATAAATTTCCCTTATGCACTTGATATATTGTGAGTTTTTCTATTACAAACAAATTTCTAATACAGTTTTTGTAGATTCTATTGCATTTTTTATTGATATTATTTGTGATATAGCACTATATAATAAGAATAAAATTAATAGAAGATTACAAATCATATTTTTATTGAAGGCGATATACAAAATACTAATACAGAGAGAAAATTTTTATTTAATTTAATTTTTAAAAATTTCGATAAAGCAAAAATATTTATAATTGAAAATTTAAAAGAGTTTTTGTTCGATTGGCTATTTTAAAATCCAAAAAACTTTCTGAAGAATAAAACTATTAGTTTAAGCAAAGATTACATCAGGAATTTTTTTTTATTGCAGTTCTACGCAGATTTGCAAAAAAATTAAATAATAAATCAAATAAAAATCTGTGCAAAACTTCAAATTTGATACTATAAATGCAGAAATTAGGTTAAGTTTTGTACAAAACTTCAAATTCTAAAAAATTTTGCAACAATTCTTCAAAAATCTGCAAAAATACAGATTTTTGCAAATTTGCACTTATTTAATTTTCCCAATGATTATATTAAGTAAAACATTAATAGTTTTAGTTTTGTTTCAAAAAAATCTTTACTATAAGCTAATCTTCACTATATTGAAGATTCACTATAATGAGAATGATTTGTACTAATAGTTTATAATCTAGTAATCTAAATTTAATAATTTTAATACCACTTGATTTATCTTGCTATCTAATACACTAAGAGATACTAAATAAGAGAACTAACACTTATTATATAAATATGGTCTCCCTCCAGAGTCAGTCATTTGACAAAAACATAATTATATTAGAATTTGTAATTGTCTAATAACTGACTCTGTGGAGACTATATTTACATAATAACCCTAATATATTTTCGACTATATTTTTTATTATAAAATTGCTAGTAATTTACTAAAACAAAATTTTTGATAAATAAATAATATATTGATAAGGTAAAATCTAAATGGTGCCCCTATGTAATTTGTGCCTCTTAGCAAAAATTTAGCCTATAATAAAAATTAATATTAGATTAAAGTTAGCAAAAATGTGTAAAATTGTGAGAGAAACATTTTTGCTTAGTTGCACAATAGAGGGTTATCTTAGTAAAATTTTGAGATATTAGCAATTTTATGATTTTAGGTTAGAGTTAGATTAGGGTTAGTTTAGGGTTAGGTTAGGGTTAGTTAGGGCTAGGTTAGGATTAGGTTAGGGTTAGTATTTAGTGTAAAATTGTGAGAGGAACATTTTTGCTTAGTCGCAAAACAGGGTTACCCTAGTAAAATTTTGAGATATTAACGATTTTATGATAGAGGGGCACAAAGTGCATGGGCACCAACTAGTCCAGTCCTATCGATATATCAAACAAATACGTACAATCTGATATTTAAAGATAAAATTAATTTTTTAACTTGTACCCGCGTGTACCCGTTATAAATTTCTTCGCCCAGGTTACCCACCCGTGTAAAAAAGCCTTACCCGTGTACAAAACCGATTTGCTAAAAAATAATCATCAAGTAACCTTGGTTACCCGGTTATCTATATCTAAATTTTTAGATATTTCGAAACAAAGTGGCAAGTCAAAGGTTTTACAATATTATCATTATATTGTGTGCTAAAATTACATTTTTCGGGTTTGATCTGTAAATTACAAATTTTCGCTTTGCAGCACTCAAATATGAATTATATTTTATTCTATAATATTGAACCCGATGATAATTTTAATATTGGCGTTGAAAAACTTATAAGCATATAATGAATAAAAGGAAATTGACGAAAAGTAAAAAAAAAAACAAACGAATGACCATTAACCGCCAGGGTTGGGTTATTATTATGACCAGGTCATAATAGGTCATATCAATAAGTTCAATTAGTAAGGTCATATGGCCTCATTAATTAAATTTATTGATATGACCTGGTCATAACCCAACCCTGTTAACCGCCGGTTAAGCATAACTTACTCCGGGTTAGACATCAAAATCACGGGTTGGCGGGTAAGCGGGTCGCGTGCTTTGTATAGAACCGGGTACTATATTTGGTGAATCTTCACATGAAAAGTAATGATAAACTATATAGCTATATCCCGGATCTTGTTCAAGAAATAGACAGGGTCTTATTTCCGTATTTTATGAGGATTCTATAGGTTCGTAGGTAATTCATTTAAAGTGTAACGTACCGTAAAGATCATATAAAAGAATTAGACCAATGTATGAATCACAGGATCTTTATTAAATAAATGCAGATGTTTTTAAAAACTTAGACTGCTTATTACAAATGCAAAGTATGTATGTCCTTTAGAATTTACTTTGCGCAATATAAACGCTCAGCTATGTACTAGATCCGGGTCTAGTATAGGTTTTAAAATCGGTGGAATGTTACAGACCGGGTCTTGTATATGATTTTTTACCAATATCATTATTAAGCTTAAAAAATATAATGATAAAAAAAAATAGTATAAGCCTCGTACGTACGTAGCTTTTTTAATAATACAATATTCCGGTTCTTCCGTCCTAAAATGGTCTTTCAATCGCCACTATCGCTATTTATAATTTCCTTTTACACATTAACCAAGACCGAAAAATTTTCAGCCCCGCTGAAAGACAGGTTTAGACCGGTATTTGCAAAGACCAACCTAACTACTTAACACAATCTAACGATCCAAGATATTATAAATAAAATCCGATTCGATTTCTGATCCAAAAAAACAAGTCGGGTCAGGTTTATTAATTAAACGATAATGACCCACCCATTGGGATCCCAACTAGTATCATAATGTCTTCAAAATGATATCCTTTTGGCTTATGGCTATAGGTTTATACAGTCTGAGTATGAAGAAAGGTGTTATAGTTATCAGAAAAATAGCTCGTGATTGTTTTTAATATGAGTGCTGCCAAGGGAAAACCTGTCATCGGACTTCCAATTATATTTTGTGTACATTTAGTCGTCTATGGAAAATCTATCAGAATGAAGATTTTCTATAGACGGCTAGCTGTACACAAAATATAATTGAAAATCCGATGACAGGTTTTCCCTTGGCGGCACTCATATACAAAACTGATGTAGCATATATTGATATAGCATGCACAGTCAACTTTCTCTAAATTGAACTTGGATAAACCGAACACTTAACTTTGTCTAAACTGAATATTGAAAATTTAAATTATTATGTAAAGTTCGAATTACCTGTTACCAGTTAAGTACATTTGTAAACCGAACTTATTTTAATGAGTTTTCCTAATTCGTCTATCACTATATAAGCCACAGACACACATGTGTATTTATATCAGCTATATCCAAAATCCGGAAATTATTTTTTTATGAAATTTCCTTTTCGGCACATTGAATTATAAAAAAAAAGGCATTGCTAAACCGTACATTAAATATCAAATATCCATTTAAGGAACATATGGGCCTCGCAATACCCAGATCAATTTTTAGATCTGCTAAGCCAAATTTTTATAGAAATATTGAATCATTGTCGAGTCCTTTTGCAATCATTTCTTTATGATTGTATTGGAGTTTTCGTTTTTGACAATGAGACAAGTACAATCATTTATTGAATGTAAAGAAAAAAATTTGAGGCTGTGATTAGATGTATGTTAGAAAAAAAAAAACTTTGGAGATAGAATAGTTTCCTTAAAGACTTGTATCAATTTTATGACCGAAAAAAAAGTATATAAATCCCTTCCATCTCTCCTTCAATTTCCTCACTCAACTGTAGCAGTCAAAAAATAAAAAATATTCTTAGAAATAAAAAAATAATAATAAAAAAACGATAATAATGAAGTTACGAAGCATTTCCTTGATAGCTGCCATTTGCTTAGTAGCATCAGCTGTCGCTAACCCCATCCCAAAAGAGGGTTCATAATTTTAATTTTGATAATTTTTTTTTTTTTTTGTATCATGATAGCTTTAAATTTAACTATTTTCTTCTATATTATTAGAAAAGCGTGTGGCTGAACCCAGCAATGGTATGCAATTATCTTGTTCGCCTTTGTTAAGACACTATTTACATTTAGCGATTCTCATTAAGCCGTTTATCCGTTTTTCTAGAAAAACGTGAACCCAAGCCCAAACCCGCCCATAGTATGTAATTTTCTATGATGTATCTTTTGTAAAATCAAATGCGGTTTGATTTAACGGCTAATGTTTATTTTCATTATATTCACTAGACAAGCGTGCTCCTAAAAATAGTATGAAATTTCGATCTCGTAAGATTTTATTTATTCGAATTAATTACTAAATGGTTTTTTTTTTTTATAGAGAAACGCAGTGCCGTAGCTAAAGATTACTACTCCTACTATGATTACTATGATTACGATGACTATTACTACGAGGATTACTACTCCTACTATGATTACGATGACTATTACTACGATGATTACTACTACTCCTACTACTCATACGATGATTATGACGACTACTACTACAAAAAATCATACAAACGAAGTGCTGTCCCCGCTCAAAAACGAACCGCTGCCCCACACCACAGTATGCAATTTTATTATATGAACTTATACGATTTTTTATGATGCGATTCTTATAAAAACCCACTATTAGATAAACGCAGTGCCGAAGCTAAAGACTACGATGACTACTACTCCTACTATGATTACGATGACTATTACTACGAGGATTACTACTCCTACTATGATTACGATGACTATTACTACGATGATGAATACTACTACGATGATTACTACTACTCCTACTACTCATACGATGATTATGACGACTACTACTACAAAAAATCATACAAACG